TCGTCATGGCAAGAAAGAAAAAGGAACATAAACTTATCTTCATTCATCTCCTGTAGGGGAACAGTTTCCATGCAATATATTACATGCTTGGATTGAAATTAAAATTCCCTAGAAAAATATCAGGCTTTAAATCATTTAAAATTGATTCTCCTTGGCATTGTTAAAGCAGTCCTTTAAGTTCTACAGGGACTGTTCTGTCCCCTGCTCAGTTTCTCTCTGTTTTCCCAGTCTTTCACATTTTTTCTTTTATCCCTTTTATAAACATTGAAGGACCGGCCCGTGGTGCCTCTGACAGCAAAAACGGAGCTCAGATGGGCCGTGCGCAGCTGCCCTAAGCTCCATTTTCGCTGGCAGAGGGCTGCAGGAGCCTGTTGCAGCCGAAAACACAGCCTTGACGAGTGACATCGAGCTGGCCACGCCCACCTCAGCCCCCCCTGAGGTCAAACACAACCCTGATGCGACCCTCAATGAAATCGAGTTCGACTCCCCTGTGTTACATGCATTACTCAACAGAATAGGGGTGTCAAACTGGCAGCCCATGGGCTATATGCGTCATGTGCAGGCCACCCCCACCCCCGGTTCCGCATATGCAAAAAACGCTGTGATACGTCACATGACGCAATTGAGTTTGAAACCTGTGAACTAGAGTCTTCTTTCACACCACGGAAAACTGGTATCTCTTTCTGCCTTTTACAACATGCCTTGATCCCTTCTTGCCACTTCAAATTTTTAAGCTTGTTCCATTATCTCATATGTATCTCATGTGTATGACAAAGTTGGGAGCAAAAGTAAAACTGGATGTTGAGCATAAATTTGGGGGGAAAAACAACCCACTTTCATTCAATCCTTCCTATGCAACTAAATGTCCTTTCCACAATTTAACTTTGTTTATACTCAGTTTTGTATTCCAAGAAGCTCAAGGATTCTGGCCCATTTATTCTGTTAGAACTCATGTGTTGAATGCTACCAACTGGCCCAAGATCATTTAATGAGCATCATGGCTCTGTGCAGCTTTGAACCCAAATCTTTCACCATTTATTCTTGTACTTCCAGTTTGTTGGCAACATGGCAATTTCCACAATTTCTTCTTGATAGCAAAATACTATTGAAACAGGAGTAGCTTTCCTCTTTCCAATATGGTAATTCTTTAATATTGAGGACAGGGTAATGTTAGTTTATTTATCAACAACTATTGTGATAAAAATGTGAGAATCTGAACTTTTCACTGTCAAGCCTGCAGATTATATACATGCACATGTGTGTTTGTATAGACATACCAGAAGGCAGAAAATATTTGTAAATTTTTATATTTATTATAACAAAAATTATGACATGTTCATTTGTGCATTCTTCTTTAATATAACTCTTGGTATGTAAATGATCTACAGTAAATGAACTCTATACAATCATGCTGGTTGTGACAGCAGGGAGGAACACACAAAAATGTGCCAAAAAAAGTTAATGGTGAAGACTGAAAAAAAAAAAATGAACACAAGGACCTGTGGCCCACTGAAGTCTACCCAGCTTGTTACAGCTGCTCTAGCTAATTTTGTATGGATTGGAATCAAAAAATATCATCATTTGTGGGCAACTTCACATGAGAACACAGTCCCCGCCCCTGCTGACTTGGGCCCAGCCAAATCAAATGGCAACCGGACATGGTGGTACAGATACATTAGGTCATCAGGGCCTCACACATTTCATCACCTTCACCCGCTGAGAGGGCTATATGTTGATAGGATTTTCCTGCCCTCCCAATTTGGTGGCATCAATGGTAGCTTTGACATACATGCGAAAGCTCCCGGGTGTAAATGGAAACAGGTGTGTGTGTGTGTGGGTGGGGACGAATGTCAGTTTATTAGGTTGTGCCCTCCTGTCAGGTCTACAAAAACATGTGAAGCATCACTATACAACACTGAGTTATTTACAGGAATTTCCCAATCAACTGTTCTCTCAGAGAAAATTAGTGAGTCTCAGTGACTTAAAGTCACCTGAAAGAGTAAAAGCAACTCCTAGGAGTTAGTCTCCATAATTCTACAAATGTCTATCCATTTTCAAGACCAAAAAAGCCTTTTTGTTTCTCTCAAAGAAATAACAGTATTACAATATTATTTAATCATTTAGCACTGGCAATACTGCCCTGTTTTCCAAAGAGACAGAGGAAAAAAAAGAACAATTTTAAAAAATATTACATCAACGTCATCATCAGTTTCTTTGTAATATATTAAACCTTTTGTATTTTAATTTTTCTCCACTTTGTTTTGTACACATCTGATATGTTAAGGAAGGGGAGGAGTTAAACTAGATTAATTTCTAACCAGTGAAGCATCACTAGAAAAAGGAAAGGAAAAAAAAAAAAGTTGGTGATCGTTAGGGCTAACAAACAAGAAGCAGCTGCACTTCTCAGTTAAAGGGAAGGATCCGGAAGAGAAAGTGGAACAAAAGCTTCCTTCCTTCCTCACCTCATTAGTGTAATACAAACCTAAGGAGCTTCCAGATCTTAATGTCTTGTTAGCTTGTTTCCCAAAGCTCCGTCATAGTGGTGTGTCGTAATAATCGGGCAGTTGGTCCAGCTGATATTGACGCTGTTGCTGCTGTTGCTGCTGTTGTTGCTGCTGCTGTTGCTGCTCATGATGTTGCTTCATTATCTCCTTCACCTCCTCCTCAAGCTCTGGTGGGATGATGAACTGATCATCTGGATCTGGCTGAGCTGGAGCGGCAAAATAGCCCCCCGTCTTCCTGAGTGGCGCATCGGCTGCTACTTCGATTAGGTTATGGCTCCTCTCCTGAGGAGCCACGGAGCCGTTGCCTCGGCGGCGCCCAATAGTGCCAGTGGCCGAAGCGTCGGCCTTCCGAAGGAGGCACGTTTCGTCTTCATTCGCACTGGTGACGATGCCTTCGTCAGTGACTTCCACCGGGGCCTGCACCACCATCTGCTTCTCCTTTGCCCGGCCGCAGTGGATGTCCACTTCCACTTCGACTCTGCTGCCATTAGAAAAGACCCCTTCGATGGGCTCCTCGTCGTCACTGTCAAGGCCATTGTCTGAAAAGGCGCTGGAAAATGTAGCGCTGGACAGCTGCCGTTGAAAGGAGTTGGAGAGGCAAACTGGGTGGAGCATACAGCGCTGTTCGTTAGGGTAAGCGGGGCTGTTTTCGTTCATGGTTACCTGAGGTGGCTCGTCAGAGGCCGTGGATCCAACCTCGCTGCTCATTTCGGAAGTGGAGATCTCGCTGCTGATCTCGGACGCCATGCCGCTGCTCGACGAAGGCATCCCCAAAGCATCAGAAGGCTTATCTTTGATGACTACATTGACAGACTGGGGGAAGCTGCCCGGGCTGGGAGGAGGGACCCCGTTTAACTCACAGCAGCAGAAGCTATCCTCAGTTACGTTGAGCTGAACCACCACAGCACTGAGGCTATCGTTGCAGCCATAGCTCTGAGCCAACGTGCAAAGTTTCTTGGCAGCTCCAAGGGCATCGGGCACGTTTCTGACAGCCTCCACAGCTTCGTCGATGGATAGACTGTCCCACAGGCCTTTGCTGCCCAGAATGAAGAATTCATCCTGAGGAGTCAAAGTAATGGACTGTACGTGGGGGCGTGGAACAACACTTGGGTGAAGGAAGGTATATCCCAAAATCCTTGTTGAGTCTGTTACGCCATTTACTTTGCCATCCTAGAAGGAAGGGACAAAATATATGTTAGATATTAATGCTGTTTTAAAAGCTAAATAACCAGCTCTTGCTTGAGGGAAAGGAGGAATAAGGTTTGAGTAAAGAGTTGGATTTAGAATCAGTCGAAGCTGCTAGTACCTCTGGATAGTGTGGACCGTTATTCTGCTCCACAGACAACTCATCCAAGTGAAATATAATATTTGCAATGTCTAGGATGTTCAATAATTTAAAAAGAGGCAGAGAGGAGCTCTGTGACTTTAGAATGGAATCAATGTCAGTCTAACAGCAGGAAGTGATTTTTAACAGCAGGAAGTAGTTAAAGGGGGAAGGGCACCTTATATCTCCCTTCCTGCCACTTTGAGACATGATGTTGAATTCCTATAACTAAATAACAATAGAAAAGTAACAGATCCGCAGCGTGACCGATATTGGGCAGATTAAAACTATAGGGCTTTTCTGCACTACTTTCTCCCAGCAGATCTTTCGCATTTGATGTATGCACAACCTTTCAAATTCAAAACATTCTGACCTCAAAAGCCTGTTTAACTTTGGCAACTTTAGGACTTGTGAACTTTAACTCCCAGAATTCCCCAACCAGCCATCTTGTGGAGTTGAAGTCCACAAGTCTTAAAAGTTGTCATTTACTCTACATTTACCAAACTCCACTTTACCAAAAGTGTTCCAATGTTGTTCAATTCCTCTGGAAATATTCTGAGTTTGAACAAGACCTTTTCTGAGCTTCAAACTTTTTTTTTTTTTTAATGTATCATAAACTTCTACTTGTTACCTGCTACCAGTAGGCTTGTGGGAAAACAGCAATCCACAATTGGCCCACTGACCAGTTTAACAACCACTGTTCTTTGAAAAATTATTTGACACCTGCATTTTTTGAATGTTTGCATCTCTTTTGTCATTGAATATCATTGCTTCTTCTGAATCCAGGCATGATATTCCCCTCTGAAAAAAAAATCGGGGCTGGCCAAAAGAGACCCCCCCACCGCGCGCCAAGAAATCGCTGCCCAGCTCCCTTTTCCTGCCGCTCAGCGGCCTCCGCTCGCACCGCCCGGGCTCCGCTCGCACCGCCCGGGCTCCGCTCAGGTATCCGGCTGGGGCTGTCAGGAGTTGCTACCGCCGGCGCGGCTCCACGCGGCTCCAGTCCCGCGTTGCCTCGGGAAGGGAAAGGCAAAACCAGGAGCCACTGCTGCCGTTGCAAAGCACCGCCGCGGCTCTTCCCTTTTGCCTTTCCCTTCCTGAGGCAACGCGGGACTGGAGCCACGCAGAGCCGCGCCAGCGGTAGCAACTCCTGACTCGGGGCCTCCGAGGGGAGGGGAAGGAGGAGAAGAGGGGGGGGAAGGGGGGGCAATTCCCAAAAAAATCGGAATTCCAATTTTAATCGGAAGAATATCATGTCTGTGAATCCTACTGATAGTCGAGACTCAGAAGGTAGATCCCTTAATCAATCAGACTGCAATGCTTGGTTTCTATGAAACGTAACACCAATCATTCAACCACTGATTTCCACATATTTCTGTAAAATAGCATTAAAAGAAGGAACAAATAGCAAGTTGTGGAGGTTTTCTTCTACAGCCCCACCATACCAAACTCATATTCCTAGGCTTAGAAAATGCAAATTTACTGTAATTGTATAGGTTGGAAGAGGAAATGAATTGTGCCTGGACTCTTGTTTGTTTTCAGGAAATTGCTCTGCAGAAAAACTGTTTTCACATGCCCCAATTACAAATCTTTTTTTCAGATATGTAACTTCCCCTCAGGGGAAAAAAAGATTAATATCAGAAAGGAAAGACATTGTTTTTAAAAAAATCAAAATAAGTAGTATTCATATTCTCAAGTACTGGCTTGGTTTGACTTTAAACAAAATCAGGGAATTTTTAACATCCTGTATTCATTTAAAAACTGGATCAAACGTGAAAAAGGAAGTAGGAATGGGGAAAGTAAAACTGAAGGAAACGTCTTGTATTTCATACCTTTACATGCTTTAATTTTAAAAAATGTTATGAACAGTGGAAATGTGCAAACTGAAGAAAGTACCTTTGGTTTGGTCAGGACAACTGAGATATTAATTAGTAATAGGAGCATTGTAGTTACTGTCCATAACAGCATTTTAGAAAACTTTGCCTTATATTTCTTTTAGGATGGCTTGACTTTTCCCCAAACTCTGGGATAGTTTCATGGTAAAGCTACTAGATGTATATTTCATGAGGGATTGTGATATATGTTTTCTGTCTTATGTGAGGTTTCTTCTCTGTTCAATTTTGTTTTTTTTCTTAAAAATACATTATATTGGTGTTTCGTTATATGCGGTGCAGAGTCATTTTTGAATTGAAGTATCCGTATACATTTAAATTATATATATGTTCCCCCCAAAATAAGACCCCGTCTTATTTATTTTTTTGCCACCAAAAAAAGGCACCAGGTCTTATTTTCGGGGGATGTCATCCACTGACTAAACTCACTTGTGTGTGTCACCCCTGGCCTCCTTTTCGCTGTCAGAGGCCTTCAGGAAGTTCTTCTTTTGCGACTGACAAGGCTTTCCTGAAGGCCTCTGCAGCCGATAACAGAGCTCCAGGAAAGCCTTGCTGGTCGCAGAAGAAATGGGCTGGCAAGGCAGGTGTTGGGGTATGCAAGGCCTGGCTGCAACTGTCCAAAAGTAAGTAGTGGAGAAGCTCCACCACCCCCATCCCAACCCTAGCTTAATTTTTACCCATGCACTCTGGAGTGGGCAGGATCTTAATTAGGGCTTATTTTATGGGGGAGGTAGGGCTTATATTGGGTGCATGTGTGAAAATCAAGCTGGGATTTACTTTCAGGGTAGATTATATTTTGGGGGAAACAGGGTATCTACCTGTACACATGCATTTATAAAAATTTGGGATGGGCAGAATAGAATATAGAGTATAGATTATAAAGTATAGATGATAGAGTATAGAACAGAGCAAACAGAACAGAACAGAACATGTATTAGCCAAGTGTGATTGGACACACAAGAAATTTATCTCTGGTGCATATAATCTGAGTTTACATGCAAACAACAAAGTGATAGGTCATAGATCATAAATCATAGTTACAGTCATTAATCATAAGAATGTGGGCAAGATGTCAGAAGGAAATTCTGCCTTACTGGGAGGGTTCTGAAACAGATTTGTAAAGAACCACCTGCACTTTATTACCCCAATACCCCTCCTTCCGTCACCCTTAATGGGGCTGACAACCCAGTGTGTCTTACTTCTGTAATAATGGCCTTGTGCTGCTTGATCCTCCTTAGCTCTTCCTCACAGCTCATCATATAAGACCTAGACAAAGGCAGAGGCTTCCCATTCCTGCAGAGAACGGATTGGCACTTTCCCACATTTGCTGAGGTTAATGTGAAGCATCCACCTGGATCTAATGGGTCGTGTTTGATGTGGCAAAGGACAGCGGAGCCTCCGAGTTTCTGCCCAGCAGTGCCAAGCTTCCTGGAATTTCAAGAAAACAACACTAAGAGGTTAAACAGGGAGAAGCGATGATTATGCGATGATTATGCATTAAGCTCAAGGCACACACTTATTTTCAAGATTCAGCAGGAAAAGTGAGGAATTCATACACAGAAAGCAATGAAAGACCCCTACAACTGAAATGTGATGCACTCTATTAGAGCTGCTGATGAAATTTTGACAGTTCATAGTTTAGTGCTCTGCCAGATGGTAGCAGTAGTTGACCTTGGCTGATTTTCAAAAGTTAAGCAGTGCTGGATCTTATTAGTAACCAGATGGGAGACACCAGGACATACTATGGCTGTAGGCTCAATTGGAATTTTTTAAAATATCCAGAGAGGGGGGATATTCTTGTCAATAAATTTATGAAGTCAGTCGGTGATGAAACTCTACCTGAAGATTATTTTTACAGTTTATTGGTACAGTTTGTGTGGCTTCTTGATTGGTTTCTTGACCTTCCAAGTTAAATGACTACATTAAGAAAGAACTCCTAGAGAGCCAAAGCCATTCTGGTGCCCTCCAACTAGGAAGATCTCATAACAGAGACAAAATTGTGCTAGGTATGCAAACAGGCCAATTCAATAGAAAGTATCTTCTAACGTTCCTAAGGCTGAACTCAAAGCAAATTTCCCTCAGAAAAATGGAAGATGTGACATTCCAATAACTCAAGAATAGAGGTGCCCAAAATGTACTGAATTGAGACAGTTTTGACATTGAAAATGATGTTTTGAGTGCAAAACAGCAACTTCAATTATTCTAGGAGAGTTTCAAGCTTGAAACAGCGCACTTGAACTAGTGTGTTCCAAACTTGAAACAGTTCAAATTTCTAATGTTGCATGGCCCTCCTCCAGAATTTTTTTAAATAGGCAAACTATTAGAAAAGAAAAATAAGAAAAGCATTCTAGTTTTGCATTCCCTTTCCAAACCAACTGGACCAGATAAAGATGACTGCATAAAACTGTCATGAAATCTCAATTAAGTCCAAACTCACATATTAATTACATCCTCCCAACTGTACATTTCTCCAAAATTGGCTGTTTCCAAATCATCTCAGAACTGTCAAGCCTATATAAATAATGCATACAAATCCATCTATCTTCTTCCAAAAGCCAAATCTGGCTATAATTTAAAGAATTTGCTTTTGATTATTCAGTCTGGAGTAATAGTTGAATGAGCTGCTACAGAGCTATGTATCTATAAATAAAATTAATCACATTCAGTATGTCTATATACAGACAGGCTTGTTCTCTTCTTTTTTTGAGAGAGAGAAATATACAAGATGAAATATGTGATTTTTATTTTCATAATATTTTAAAGAGGTTGCATCTGAGACTTCAGGTAATATTTAATGGAAGAAGAAGGCTGTGACAAATAGCATTTGAATATGTGTATGCAGAGCACCAGAGCCAGGTCATTTTTGTACAAACAAAACAAGATAGAAATGGCAGGAATCTAGCAATGAAATCATTATTGTTTCTAGCAAAATGGTCACCAGCTTCTCTCCAGTTCACTTTTGGAATTAAGCTTTGGTAAGTGAAATGCAGCTTACTATATTATTAATCTTCTCCAATTGTAGTCAAAGGTTAAATATAAAAGCATGATTTCAAGGGGAACACAGTGTTGTGTTGATTCATTGATCTGGAGAATTCTCCAAATTTGGCTGAAGTGTAAGCAGAAATGTTTAGCAGTGGCAATCAAATCTGTTAGCTATCACTATGATACATGGGAAGTGCTGAATGCATCTCCTAAGCAGTCAGTTTTCGAGCTCTTTCTGTTAAAGAGTTTTCTTAATGATAATGTAAGAGCTAAGCTAATGCTACAATATTCTTCTTCAAATACCAACAACTGCAGGTAAAGGTTTTCCCCTGTCAAGTTGTGTCAAACTCTCAACTCAATTGAGACTTTCAAGAAGAGACTGGACTGCCATTTGTCAGAAATGGTGTAGGGTCTCCCGCTTGGACTAGATGACCTACAAGGTCCCTTCCAACTCTGATCATCTGTTATCTGTTATCTAAGACAGAGGTCCCCAAACTTGGCAACTTTAAGACTTCTAGACTTCAACTCCCAGAATTCTCCAGCCAACTATGGGAGTTGAAGTGTACAAGTCTTAAAGTTGCCAAGTTTGGGGAACCCTGCTCTAAGAGGTGGTGCTCATCTACATTTCTTATCTAAGTGTTGTCTGAGGAAGATTCCGTGGTCATGTGGCCAGCATGACTATACAAGGCGCACAGAACACTGTTACTTTCCACCAAAGTGATACCTATTTATCTACTGGCATTTGTGTGCTTTCAAACTGTTAGGTGGGCAGGAGCTGGGGCAAGTAACAGGAACTCATTCCGTTGCGCAGTTCTTGGGTTTCAAACCTGGGCTGTCAACTTATCTCAGCTGACAAGCTCAGAATGTTTTGCAGGGTCTGCAGGTATAAAAGATCTGAAATCAGGGCACTGCGACAATTTCAACAGTGTTTCAGAGAGAACAAGGGGTAAGAGGTTAACCCAGGGGTGGGTTTCTACCGGTTCTGTCCACCTCTGTAGAACTGGTAGCTCTGAAGAGCAGCAGACATAGAACCGGTTCTATGTCTGCTGATGTTTTTGCCCACCCGCCCACCTGGGCTCTTACCTGATTTTTCAACTTCAGCTGCCGAGCGAGGCACAGCTGCAGTTTAAAAAGCAGGAAAAGAGGGCTGTTTCAAAGGCTGCTTCTCTGCACGCAGCATGCTGATGACGATTTACAGGCACGTGCTCACAGCATGCAGGGAAGCTCGTAAATGACCGAACCGGTAGTTAATCCTGTCATATCCCACCCCTGGGTTAACCCAGTCACATTAGTAATGTTCTTCAAATGACAGAAGACCTGAAGAAAGTCCTAGGATTCAATCTGCGTCCTCTGCTAAAAGAATAACACAATTGCTGGTAAAGATTTTCTCTTGAAAGCAGTCAAGCAGAATAGACAATTCTAGGATGTATGTCAATGGTCTGAGTCACTAGTAAGCCATTTTCAACATTCACAGCATAGAATGTCAGTTCTTGTCTCATGTCAAAACTCAGATGCCAGCAGGATCTCTGTACGCACCCAACCACATGATGCTGTGCCAATCCAAATGAAACTCTCCAGGGAACAAGTGAAAAGGGACCCCAAAAAGAGTTTAGAAGAAATGGGATTGCCAGATCCTTGCTTATCTTTACAATTATCAACTTTGCAAATCAACCGACCTCTGCATTACAATGAAAGTGTTGATCATGTATTCCTCTTCATTCTTTGTTTTCTGCAGCTCTTCTGCCAAGATATCACTCATGGTACATTGTAGAAGGTAG